GGGGTTTGTGAGTGGGGGGGGGGGGGGGGGGGGGGGCGGGATTTGAAGCTGATGGCCTTTAAATATGTGAGTAGCTATCTAATGGAACTGCATATTTTTGTTTACGATATTGGTTAGCATTTCCCTTTCTTTGTTGTGATTGTCTTTGTAGTGGAATCGCTTAGATTTATCATTTTCTTTTATTATTATTATTGATAAGATAAGAAAAGAAAAATATAAGCTATAAGCGTTTATGTGATTTACTGGACCTTAATGATCTTATTTTTCTTGCTTTGAGTGCCTCACGTTTAAAAAACGGCGGGGCTGTTAGCCATCAGTTTGTTTCGAGTATCTCAAGTTTTTGACCAATGCATTTTAATCATCTTATATTTGCTTGCTTTGAGTATTATTAGATTCTCAAGTTTTAGCAATAGTGCTTCAAATTACTAGGTAATTGCCCTACTCTGGCCATCTTCTGTTGTGATTTTGAATCTTTTGGACCAGAATTTCTTCAAATGGATAGGGTGTCCTTATTCTTTTATCTATGTGCCAATCTCTTTTATGATTGCTAGTTCGACTGGTGTTTCATTCCGCTGGTTTGGCGATCTAAATAAAATATGTTAGCATGAATAGTTACGTACCATTGTACGCACATTAATATATATATATATATATATTGCCTTTTGTTTTGTTTTGTTTTTTGTTTTTCTGTTTTTACTTTTTAATGTTTCAGGGTCTTCATTCCCATTTGCTGCCACTTTTTCAGTGTTTTCCCCCACATTTGCAGCCTAAAGAAACCCATAACAACTATACCCCGAAGCCTAACCCTTAAACTCAAACGAGCTATTCCTTGTTTCCAGCCCCTTTCCGTCTATACTCGTGTAATCTCTCAATCAAAGCTCTTTCCTAAGGCTTTTAAGTCATTAAGATACGTACTGTAGCAGCATACATAAAATTTAGAGGTTTCTTTTTAAAGTTTGAAGTTTTCGTGAGCACCTGGTCCTTAGCTTGGACATCAGAAGGGGCTAAATAATTTCCATGGTTTTCTTGTTAAGTTACGCTTCCTTGCTTAGTTTTCTTGTTTAAATGCTCAACCAGTTGATGCATGGCTGGCTTTAATGTAGAATTTGGAAGCAAATGTAAATTTATGGTTGAACTTTAATATGTTTTGGTTCGAAGATGATGAGGTATGGCTTAATTGAAATGAAACTGCTTTGATTTTATCAAATCTCTGTTTCCAAGTGTTGTATAGTTGAGCTACTACTGTTGTTCGTCTGATTGATAATTGAGTTGAAGAACTATTTGTGCTAACTGGAAGCCTGGCAATCAAAAGGATACAATTACCTCCCATTCCTTTGTGCTACTTAGTTGTAATTGTTATCCTCTTTTTTTTTTTTTTTTTTTGAGTAATTATTATGCTTTCGATTGTATATGTGAGCTAAATATTCTTGTATCATATATGAGCTAATATTTTTATCGTGTTTGTTCATTTTTGGTTAAAGAGTCCTGTATGGTACATTTTCTTCCCATTCATTTCCTTGTTGTGTGATGGCTCTCTCTTCCAAAAAGCATTATTCAATTTTAAAATATTTGGGTTCTTTGATACCAAAATGATAGAGCTGGACAATTTCTATTTCAGAATAGTATAGAAGAACAAGCCAGAAAGAAAAGAAGAGTAATTCTTTATTGCTCCTTATTGATGAATTGATATAGTACAGCTTTAGCAGAGCTTCCAGGGCCTGCAATCCTAGCTTGGACTATTCTCCAGGACATTCCATGGCCAATTCCCTGTTCTTAAAACTAGAAGTAACTAACTCAACCCTCCAGAACAACATCCTAACCAACTCAGCTGACTAACAAACACCTTCAATCACACTTTCATATTCCTTCTAACAAAACCTGCCTAATTAAAGGCTTTCTGCTTATCATTTATCTTCTCTCCTTGTGCATTGATTGGAGCTGGTCATTTTGGTTAGCGGTTTTCGAATTTTTCTCTCCTCTCTCTCTCCCTCTCTCTCTGTATATGTTTGGTACTATGTTCTTAGAGTTAACCTTATTTTTGAAACCTAACTACTCTATGATGGAATGAAAACTAAACTTTCATCTTTTAGTTTCAGTTTCTTGTGTTGTGACCGTGGCATTTTTTATCCTTAATACAATTTTGGTCCTTAAATTTACAAATAGGTTCTTGGTTATACTAGCTAACCAAGGTCAGCCTACGTTTGCATTTCCAGCACGCAAATTCGCAATCAAATAGCTGCTATTCTTGGTTATTCTTCTTCTCGTGGCTTCTTTTTCTTACTTTGTGTTCGATCTTGTTTCGTTCTTTATTTGCTCGAGACCCAACCCCCGTTATAAGTTTGTTTCTCACTAATAGGAGGACTGTTTGATCGTACTGATGGAAGAGGAATCTGGAGGGAGAGTGTTGGTAAATTAGTTTGGGAATTGAGTTCTGATTTTTGGAAACATCTCCGTGTATTTGGGAAGCAACCGAGATCGTGAATTTCGATTGGTGGGTTAGCCAGATCGATTGTGCCACACTCAACAGATGCGATGCGAGCGGAATTTTGGTGTTGGGTATAACAAAGCATAGAACAAACCTTCAATTACTATTAACCTATCATGGTGATCAACTGTTCTTAAAGGCAGCCTTGAATGTCTTGAAGAAACCCCTATCAAACTGGGAATCCCAGGTGTTCGTCATGGAAATAGCCTGAGCACCGGAATAGTGCTTATATTCAAAATTCAGCATTCTGAAATTCAATTACGTAGATAAGCAAAACTTGGCAATATTCAAGAGCAAAACACTTCACCAATGTTGGGGATTTCGGTTGGTGGATGGTAGTATAGTATATGGAAAATAGAGAGGAAAGAGACGGATGAGGAATAACTCAAATATTGGAAGGTGCCAAGAAAGAGATGTCATAAACCTATTTGTGTCAGTATCCCCTCATATGTAAATGTACGGTTTTGGATTTGATGTAATATAGCTAAGCATATATATGACATATACTTGTATATGTTTGTGCATTTGACAATCCATTCCTACACAACATAACATAATCACCATCTATGTGTTGACGTTTATTTGACCGTGTTTACGTTGGCTTAGATCTAGCTGTGAAGGGTCACATGATCATCATCTGACGGAGCACATTTGTGGGCGTCCGTTGGGCCTGAGTTTCCACAAAACGAGCGGTGATCTCTACATCGCCGACGCCTATATGGGGCTGCTCGTTGTCGGGGCTGAAGGCGGCTTGGCCACCCGGGTGGTGACTCAAGCACAAGGAGTTCCATTTGCATTTCCCAACGGTTTAGACATCAATGATGAGAATGGATTAGTCTATTTTACTGATAGCAGTTCTCGTTATCAAAGGAGGTATATCATACATAATCTTTTACGTTCTCTTTCAGTTAGACTAGTACTAACTATGCAATGATTTTTTTTTTTTTTTGTTGGATTAATCCATTAGTCAATTTGACTTGGCCTTTTCCTTTAAGAAAAAAACCCAACCCGGTGAAAGTGGGATTTGATCGAAGTCTTTTTACAACGTTATGTTCTAGATAAATGCGACATATTGGCCGCGTTCGTTTCGTTGATTCGAGTTTAGAATTTGAGTTGAGATGTGATTTTATGTGAGAGCTTTTTACTGTAGTAAAAAAGTTAGATGTGACTGTTTGTGAGAGCTTTTTACTGTAGCAAAACTCAAATTCTAAACTCGAATCAGCGAAACGAACGAGGCCATTGTGAAAAATTGAATCACAAACATCATGATCATGAATGCATATTTGTTAAAGTTCTTCGAAATATGTAGAATTGGAATTTCTTTTTGGTTGCTACCTTTTTACCCCTAACAAGTTTTATGTTCGTTTTACAGTTTTTGGAACTTTTACCCTCTTAATTTTTCTAACTTTTGACAACTTTCTTTGAACTTCTAATTTTGACAATTCATCCCACCAATTTAGTTACCAATTAACACAATCATTAACAAAATGGGCCTCGTCGCCACAATTTAATTAAGGGAAAACACTATTAAGTTTGGGATAGGAGGTCTAATTACTAAATTAGAAGTTTAGAGACAAGTTGTTAAAGGCTGAAAAATTCATGGTGCAAATGTGCATAATACCATTATTTTTATATTGTCCCATAAAACTGTTTTTTGATGACGTGTATTAATTTCTTACGTGCTATTATTTGTATAAATTGGAGGTCTCTCCTTATTATGAAAAAAATCTTGTGTCCTTACATGATTTGTAATGTTTCAGGAACTACCTTTCTGTCATATTAAGTGGAGACACAACCGGAAGATTAATGAGTTATGATCCTCAAAGCAAACAAGTAGATGTTTTACTTGAAAATCTCTCATTCCCAAATGGAGTGGCACTAAGCCAGAATGGAGATTTCCTTTTGATTGCAGAGACCACGTCTTGCAGGATCATGAGGTATTGGCTAAGAACTCCCAAGGCTGGGACTTTTGAAGTCTTTTCACAATTGCCCGGATTTCCAGACAACATTAAGGGGAGTCCAAGAGGAGGATTTTGGGTGGCAATTCACTCAGAAAGAAAAAAGGTCTTTGAATTGATTCTTTCATATCCAAGTATAGCAAAAGCCATTCTTCAGCTTCCATTTGATGTAATGAAGGCGTACACAAGTCTGGGTAAGTGGAGAGGAAGAGGGTTGATGATTAGGTTGAGTGAGGAAGGTGTTTTGTTGGATGTGCTTGAAGACAAGAGTGGTGTGAAATGGAAAGCTGTTTCTGAGGTGGAGGAGAGAGATGGGAATCTTTGGATTGGATCTATACATAAACCTTATGCTGGAAAGATCACATTAAATGATACAAATTAATTACACAAACTTGTAATATATGTCGGAGTAAAATTTCGTCCAACATTTATCTAACGTCCTTAGACTAAAAATTCAGATTAAATAAGCAAATTATCTGAGGAAATTTAAAGAACACTCGAAGAACATAAAGAACCTTAGAAAAAGTAACAAGAACAAAGTGAAGACAATTATAAAGCAATTGTATTCAGAAATGAGTGCGCATCTTTACGTCTCAAACCGAGAGAATTTATAGTATATTGAGAATTGTGGGGGGTTGTTAATTCCTCCATTAATTTGAGAGTTTATTCTCTTTTTAATACAATAAGGCTCTTAACTTTTGAATGTTAAAAAGAATTAATAAACGAATTAAACTTGAGTCATTAAATACCTTTAATCGTTGACCGTTATTTGACATTGAGGCTTGATAACTGTTGATCTTCCATCTGCTTCTCTACCTGAGCGTATGCTCGGGTGGTTTCCCTACGTACGCTCGAGTGGTTTCCCTAGCATACGCTCGGGTGTTATCCGAACGTATGCTCAGGTCGTCTGAAAACTTGTTACATTTTATTAGCTTTCAAAGCACCGGGCCAATATGATCGTTTTAAAAATATTTGTATTTTTCTTTATCCTTATTAGTGTATACTTCTGACCGATCACAGTTTTACTAAAAAAATTCACTGTTTTGAACTACTAAAAATGAATACTAGTGACATATTTGCTCTTTTATATCTAGAAGAAGAAGAAGAAGAAGAAGAATTTTTTGTGCGTAAATGACGACTAAAGGAATTAAATTTCTACTCTTTCATGTAGTTGAATTGGAGGTCTCTCCTTATTATGAAAAAAATCTTGTGTCCTTACATGATTTGTAATGTTTCAGGAACTACCTTTCTGTTATATTAAGTGGAGACACAACCGGAAGATTAATGAGTTATGATCCTCAAAGCAAACAAGTAGATGTTTTACTTGAAAATCTCTCATTCCCAAATGGGGTGGCACTAAGCCAGAATGGAGATTTCCTTTTGATTGCAGAGACCACGTCTTGCAGGATCATGAGGTATTGGCTAAGAACTCCCAAGGCTGGGACTTTTGAAGTCTTTTCACAATTGCCCGGATTTCCAGACAACATTAAGGGGAGTCCAAGAGGAGGATTTTGGGTGGGAATTCACTCAGAAAGAAAAAAGGTCTTTGAATTGATTCTTTCATATCCAAGTATAGCAAAAGCCATTCTTCAGCTTCCATTTGATGTAATGAAGGCGTACACAAGTCTGGGTAAGTGGAGAGGAAGAGGGTTGATGATTAGGTTGAGTGAGGAAGGTGTTTTGTTGGATGTGCTTGAAGACAAGAGTGGTGTGAAATGGAAAGCTGTTTCTGAGGTGGAGGAGAGAGATGGGAATCTTTGGATTGGATCTATACATAAACCTTATGCTGGAAAGATCACATTAAATGATACAAATTAATTACACAAACTTGTAATATATGTCGGAGTAAAATTTCGTCCAACATTTATCTAATGTCCTTAGACTAAAAATTCAGATTAAATAAATAAATTATCTGAGGAAATTTAAAGAACACTCGAAGAACATAAAGAACCTTAGAAAAAGTAACAAGAACAAAGTGAAGACAATTATAAAGCAATTGTATTCAGAAATGAGTGCGCATATTTACGTCTCAAACCGAGAGAATTTATAGTATATTGAGAATTGTGGGGGGGTTGTTAATTCCTCCATTAATTTGAGAGTTTATTCTCTTTTTAATACAATAAGGCTCTTAACTTTTGAATGTTAAAAAGAATTAATAAACGAATTAAACTTGAGTCATTAAATACCTTTAATCGTTGACCGTTATTTGACATTGAGGCTTGATAACTGTTGATCTTCCATCTGCTTCTCTACCTGAGCGTATGCTCGGGTGGTTTCCCTACGTACGCTCGAGTGGTTTCCCTAGCATACGCTCGGGTGTTATCCGAACGTATGCTCAGGTCGTCTGAAAACTTGTTACATTTTATTAGCTTTCAAAGCACCGGGCCAATATGATCGTTTTAAAAATATTTGTATTTTTCTTTATCCTTATTAGTGTATACTTCTGACCGATCACAGTTTTACTAAAAAAATTCACTGTTTTGAACTACTAAAAATGAATACTAGTGACATATTTGCTCTTTTATATCTAGAAGAAGAAGAAGAAGAAGAAGAATTTTTTGTGCGTAAATGACGACTAAAGGAATTAAATTTCTACTCTTTCATGTAGTTAGGATTAACTATTAATATGTAGCAACAAGCAAATTTAAGGAGATAAAAAGGAAAAAAAAGAAGGCAATTTGTTTTTCTTTTTTTTGGCTATGGAGTACATTATGTGGTTCATTTAGCCCAAGCAATTTGAGTCATTTTCACTTTACTTGAACTCTTTGTGGACTTTGAATTGGGTAGATGTGAAAGAGAAAAATATAATATGTCATAGTTTTGTAAATGTTTACTATTTATGTTATTCTAAATAGTTTGGTGCCATTATTATTTTTGTTTTCTCTTTATTAATTGAGTGACAATTATTTATTTATTTTAATAGAGTAACATAAATAATATTTTTTATTATTAGTTTTTTAATTTTTTTCCCCCAAAAGAGAAATATGGGTCATGGTCTTAATTGTTAGAGGGGATCTATATGTATATAGTGTAATTTTATGAGTTCTCGTACAATTTTTAAAATGTGTAGTAATTAAATGACTGTTGTTTACTAACACCAAGTTACAAACACACTCTATGGATCATCAGAGCGCCAAAAAAAAAAAAAAAAAGCTATAAAGATTATACTGTTAGTGATCATTAAAATTATGCTAATTCCCTCTTTGTTCCTAGAAAATTAGAGTTAAGACATACTAGACCGATTAACGGGCTTAGCGAGATGCTTCTAGGCCTCAAGGCCTTCAGCCGCTGGTTGTTTATCCCTACAGGCTTGGGGCTACTTGCCCAGCCCACCAAAACACAAGGATAGTTATATTAAACCCTAAAAATTATATAGATTTCTCCACTAATTAATGTTTCTCTAATAAAAATTTAAATAATTCTATCATTTTATAAATACAATTTTCATAATATGTAATTTAACCTTTCATACTCCAACTGTCACGCCCCGGGACAGGGGTCGGTGACGTGGAGGCTCGATTAGGAGTTAAACATTATTAAAACTAATAGGAAAATATTAAAGAAATCTCCAAACGAGCCCCACTATTGTGTCGAAAATAAATTACAAGAACAACACAAGAGGCTAAAACTCCCGCCTCTAACACTCTTCACGGCTACACCCACAGGATCTATCAACAGGATCTTTAGTATCGTACATACATGAACGTGTAAATAACATTACAGACATTAACCACAGTTTAGAAATCCAAATATCAGAGTTTACAGAATTTACAAATTCTTACATTCGTACACCAGGAGGATGAACACAATCCTCTCTTAATCGGGTGGTAGTAACTCAGCTACTCCGCACTGCTCCTAGAGTCGCCTAGGAGGGGTTTAACATTTATAAAATAATAAAACGCGAGCGAAATGCCTAGTAGGATATATTTTGAAATAACTTTGTAAATAAGTAAATAAATGAGTAAACAAGTAAGTAAATGAATAAGTAAATGAATAAATATAGACATTCAATTCCAACACAACAGCCGGAACCTCACATCCTTTTTCTCAAAAGAAATATAACAGAAAATCTCCGTATTACAGGCATCAGCAAGTAATTTATACTATGATAAATTACTTACACAACCACGTGCACAAGCCTAACACCCCCGGGCCGGGTTTCGGGTTCTGCCCCAAAGGACGCACTCTCCACATCCTATCTAGGTCATCAGCCGGTTTACCGATTCACACGATCTCTTGTCTTAAGAAATCATTCATTAAACTTTATAAAACAGTTCATTATGATCCCAATAGCTAAAATCAAGCTATTATTTTTGAAATACTTTTCTTTCGCAAACATGTCCTTTCTTTAAATCATTTTCAAGGCCAAAATTCTTTTGAAAATAGGCTCACAAAGAAAAGGGTAAGAAATCTTACCTTGCAAGTACCAAACCTAGCTAGCATTACTCTATTCCGGTTTTTGCTTCCTCAAGCCCCCCAATCCGAGTCCACAGCTAGCACTGATACAAAACAACACTTTAGGATCCAATTCTCATTCCTAAAGTAATTCAATCTCAATTATATCCTTTGATTTCCTATTAGTGGGCCATAATTCAATTACCGGTTCACAAACCATTTCATGTTTCAAATCATCATTCCAAAGGTTATCAATCTCAAAACATGGAGTAAAGGAGCTAATCCATTCATTATAGGTCCCCAAATGAAGCTAATTTGGGTTCTCCTAAAAAACCGAAGTCAAAACAGGGTTTTTCAACAGAACAGGGTCAAACCCAGTGTACACCGGTCGACCGATGACAGAGCAATGTAACACCACCGGTCGACTAGTGGTGTGCACTTTGGTCGACCGCATAGGTAAACCTGATGTAGTGCAGACCGGTTGACCGCATAGGTCGACCGGTGGAATCAGGGCAGGATGGCCAGAAGGGCCAGTCCAAAGAAAATCAGCACAAAACTTGCAAATTCAAGTCTAAAATTGAAATATCTCAAAGGAAAACCACCAGATCTGGGTTCTAAGTACTAAATCAAGTCCAAAGAACCCAAGATCTCCAATTTCTACCATAGTTTTACTCAAAATCCATCAAAATATATTTCGAACAAAAAATAAGTTTCTAAATTTGAAAATCCAAGAATTAAGAGAGGTTTTTTTTTTTTTTTTTTTTTTTTTTTTTTTAAAAATTTTCTAATTAGAAAAATTAGCTAATTAAACATCCTCAGAAATCTTACCTCAAATCCTTCTTTTGGCGTTGAAAACTTCTTGAAACTTTCCTTTGGTTTGAAATCCGGTTGATTTGAGATAGAAATGGGAGAGGGAGAAAGAGAGAGTGAAGAGAGAGAGGGTGCTCGGGAAGGAAAGGAAAGGAAGGAAAAGAAAGAGAAAGAAAAATAAAAAGGAAAAGAAAAGAAAAATGGACATGTGTCAAACATTTAAAATAACAGTCCAGAAATGTGCCCATACACACTTCTGGGTAAAATATAAATACTAAGAATATTTAAATACCTTAGAATTATTTAAATCTACTCGTCAGAAACATTTATTAATCAATAATTAATTAATTAAATAAAATTAGGCACACTAATAAATCCCAATTACCTCATATCGAGGGGGTGAATACCTGGACTAAGAGTTTCGGTATTTCTTGATTGAAGAAGGTGTAGTATCCTAATTGACTACACCCGGTACACCATAACAGAATGGTATTGGTGAAAGGAGAAATCAAACTTTGTTCGACATGATAAGATCAATGTTGAGTTATTTTCACTTCCTACTTCGTTATGGGGTTATGCCCTAAGAACTACTGTGTATATTTTGAATCTAGTACTGTCACGCCCCCCAAACGGGGTGGGTGACGTGGAACTCGATTTGGGATTAATAAAGCAGATTCCCAACCGGGTCCCACACTTAACTGCATAAAAATCTAAATAAACGACATAATCCAGGAGCCTCTGACACACAGGGCTCCATCCCACAGGACATACAGTATCAATTCCTTACATTTGTTCAGAGGATAAACTCAATCCTCACTTGATCCAACAGTAGCAACTCCAGCTATCCTGCACCGCTCCTCGAGTCTCCTGGGAGGGGTTTAACATTTAAAACATAAAACGTGAGCGAAAGACCCAGTAGGATATAATTTGAAATATTTAAAATAAATGAGCGCATAAATAAATAATTGAATACATAAATAAAATAAGACATTCAGTCCCGACAGAACAGCCGGAACCTCACATCCTTTTTCTCAAAGGAAATATAACTGAAAATAACCATGTTACAGGCTTCAGCAAGTAATTAGTACAAATTACTTACCTAACCAAGTGCCTCGCCTACCCGGACCGGTTTCGGGTTCTGCCCCCGAGGATGCACTCTCCGCATCCTATCTAGGCTTACAGCAATAGACTCTATTACCAGTTCACAAGATCTCTTTGCTTAAGAAATCATTCATTAACATT